TCTCTCTTCCTCCAGGCTGTGGAGCTCGCCCAAAAGGGTTTGAGCTGTAGGAGGCTCCCGCGGGTCTGGTTTCCCTCTGCCAGGGGTGGAGGGTAGGAATGAGGTATTTGTAATCATGAGCAGGTCAGGGTGAGACGTGGACAGATACTTGTGGGGCTTGTCTGATGGCTGCTGTGCAGCAGCCTGCCTCCAGAGCCGGGAAACCTGCTGAACGTGCTTTGTGCCAGTGTTTTGCATGCCTCGCTGCCTCCCCTGCTCCCTTCTGGAGCCAGGTCAAAGCCATTGTCTCTGGCCTCATCTGCACATCACGCTGGACTGCTTCAGTTTAAGTAGCTGAATCGAAGCGGTGCCAACCCCTGTGCAGAGGCTCTGATTTTGGCTCCGGGCAACTTCTTTTTATTTTCACTTCAACTTGTTCCTAATCATCTGAAATACGCTGGGTTTCAAGGGAACGGCTTTAGCAGTGGTTGAACTAGATGGGCATAAGTTAAACCGATGCTGCTCCACATTAAAGCAAGCCTTAATCCCCTCAAGTTGAGGCCCGTTTACCTTGGAGACCGGCATCATCATTCACTCATCCATTCATTTGGAAAGATGTGGCTAGTTGTGCTCAGAGACAGCTTGTGGGCACAGAAGATGGTGTTCCTAGCTCTGGTTATGACATAGGCCTGTGGGAGATGAGCTGACCTGTTTTCAGAGCGTGCTGCAAAACTCACCTTCCCCGAGCTCTCCTTCCAACCGTGGGACACCGGGAAGGTGACAACTAGAGACCAGTGGAGCAGCCTCCCAGACATCCCAGGGCCATCTTAGCTGAGTAAATGGTCACCAGTGGGGTCTAATTCTCATAGGACACAAAGCCAGGCACCTTGAGACAGGATCCGCTCTTCGCCTCTCCTAGGTTCTGTTCGGGTTACCTTAACGTGAGCCTGCAGTATTGCATCTGGCATTCGGAGAGCGCATTGGGCAACTGACTGCTCCAAAAGAAGAGAAGGATGTATTCCCCTGATGTAGTGGTAACCTGCTACCAAGTCCCTTCTCGGCCTTCTTTTTTTGCTGCTGAAAAATCCCAGGTCCCTCTGCTTTTCCTCGTATTGCTTGCTGTACCAGCCTCTAGTCATATGGGTGGCCCTTCTCTGGACTCTCAAGTTGTACCACGTCCTTGCTAAAGTGCAGCGCCCGGAACTGGACACAGTACTCCAGCTGGGGTCTCGCCAGTGCAAGGGGGCATGGAAGAATTGCCTCCTTGGTCTTGCTGGACATGCATCGATTAATGCATTATTTGCCCTGCTGGCAATAGAGTCGCACTGCTGGCTCATATTCATGCTGTGGTCTATTATTACCCCCAGGTCTCTTTCATTCCTAGTGCTGGACAGATTGGCATTGCCAAGCCTGTAGGTGTGCAAGGGATTGTTTGTCCCCAAGTGGAGCGCTTTACACTTCTTGACATTGAACTTCATCTGGTTCGGACTTGCCCAACTTGCCAGCCTGTTTAGGTCCATCTGTATCTGTAGCCTATTTTCAAGTGTGACCACACTCCCCATAACCTGGTGTCATCTGCAAACCTGGGCAGTGAGCTCTTCGTCTTCACCCTCCTCATCCAAATTATTTGAAAAAAAGATGTTGAAAAGTACAGCACCAAGGACTGACCCCTGCGGGACACCGCTGCCCACTTCTCGCCAGGACGATACAGATCTGTTCAGTAGGATTCTCTGGGTCCTACCCCGCAGCCAGCTTTGTACCCACCTAACTGTCTTGTAGTTAAGCCCACTATCTTCCAATTTTCTCACAAGAACATCGTGGGATACCAGATCAAAGGCTTTTTGGAAGTCAAGGTGTACAACATCCACCACTTCTCCCTTATCCAGGTGGTGAGATATCTGATCGTAAAAGGAGATGCGGTTGGCTAGACAAGACCTGCTTGCAATGAAGCCATGCTGGCTGTTGTTCAGAATCCTACCTTCTGCAAGCCTATTGCACATAGACCCCTGAATGAATTTTTTCTAGGATTTTCCCTGGGATTGAAGTTAGGCTAATTGGCCTATAGTTACCTGGGTCCTCCCTCCTCCCTTTCTTGAACATGGGCACAACATTGGCCCTCTTGAAGTCCTCGGGGACCTCTCCGGAGCGCCATGAGTTTTGGAACAGTTTCGCCAGGGGCTCCGCAATGACGTTGGCCAGCCCCTTCAGCACCCTCAGATGGAGTTCAACTGGTTCTGCTGACTTATATATGTCTGATTTCTTTAATTGATCACACACCAGTTCTACGGCAACAGTAGGGAGGCACTCATTTCTGCCCTGCTCATTCTGTACCCTATCTGGCATGATTTTCCTTATGGCCTGGAGAAACACCAAGGCAAAGTAGTCATTCAGGAGTTCAGTTTTCTCCTGAGTGTCAGTAACCAGCTGTGCTGAGTTGTTGAGCAATGGCCCCACACTCCCATTTGCTTTCCTCTTGTTCCCTGTGTACCTAAAGAAGAACTTTTTGTTGTCCTTGATTCCCGTTGCTAATCTAAGTTCAGTCGCCGCCTTAGCCTTTCTAATTTGTTCCCTACAAGTGCGGGCTGTTGTTGTATAGTCCTCTTTGAGGCCTGTCCCCAGCTTCCGTTGTTTGTACGCCTCTTTCTTCTTTCTAAGGAGGACTGTGATTTCCCTGTTTAGCCAGGAGGGCTTCCCTTCCCAGCCCTTCATGGGCAGCCTTTCATGCTCATCTCTTCCTTGTAAGGTTTTTCTCTCGAGTTTCTTTTTTCTTGTTATAGGGGCACCATGATTCCACAATGCAGAAGTGTGGCTTTTCCCTGAAACAGCACTGCATAATGGGATCCCCAGTTTAGGGTCAGGGACTTGCACGATATCTTATGGGACTGTTAAAAGGTGCTGAGTTGCATGCAAATGTGTAATGGAGGTGGCAGGATTAAGGAATGCTCTTCGTCTTGCTGCGGGTCCTGTTGGAGCAGATACAATAAACTCCCATCCCATGCACACAGCACCACCGGAGTGCACAGACTAGCCCTGAGTCTTGCCTTATGCCCAGTGGCTCTGGGAGCAGTTGCTGGCATGTGGTCTCTCTTTAGTCATCCGCCTCATTTACCCACACAGGCAGTGACTTGGGGCCACAGTTCTGCCCATGGCTTCTAGCTGTAGTAGCACAGACAGCGCGCCAACACTGTGGCAAGAAAAGCAATCGTGTTTCCTGGAATCACCTGCCACAGCTGCAGAGCGGTTCCTTAATTCTGATTTTTCCGCCCGTTTGGTGGGGGAGTGCAATTAAATCTCCAGGGAATACTCGCACCCTCTCTTCCTACTCACCCAGGAGCTGAGTAATGGAAACATTTGGAGCTTTGTGATTTTTGGCGGGGTGAAAATCCCAGGAAAAAAAGAAAAAGCCCTCCCAAGGCTCTGCACAGAGCAGCTGTAACTCTCACATGTGTCTTTTCTTTCTCTGACACAGATTTCGTACAAGTCCATGGCCCACGATAACAGCCTGAGTTGTCAGGCCAGTGTTCCCTGGTGAGAATCTGCTCTTACGGACAGGGGTTGAAAGTGGGACCCCTCAGTCCCTATTGATAACCCACACAAGAGCCGTAACACCTGTCCTCTTTGAAAGCATGAGAATGGATAAACCAGGAAGGGAAAAATGACTTGGCAAAGGACAGTGGCTGGTCCGGAGACCAGTGGATTCCTCTGTCACCCAAAGGGTGGCGGGGGGGTCATATTAACTCTCTTTAATTTGGGGGCTTTTCGAGAGTGTTAAATGGATCTCAGCCCTGAAATATGCAATTGCTTCACCGTGTAAGAGAGCAGTACCATATGCGCAACCCTTTACAGGATCAAAATGCGTCTTTGATGCCTACCAGGTGGCTTAGCAAAGCATTTTGGGGGTAAAAAAAAAAAAAGACCAAGCAAGCCCAATAGCCAGCAATCAGCATCACAGTTAGTTGCTTTTGTTCTACAGAATCTCAAATGAGATTGGATCTGTTATTTAATATTGATAATTACTAATGGACTAATCGCTTGCCCAATTTTAAGTCCTAGTGCTATGAAAACTTGGGTCCACGACTAACCCCAGTGAACTCGTTAGTCGCATAGCATTAGGAGTCATGTAAATCTTTGTGGGATTAATTGATTAAGCAAATGCTATTTCAAGTGAGTTACATTACCCATGATCTCAGTCCAGCTGAATTCAGTAGTGACTAAGAGACCTCACGCGGGTAAGCAGTCCCATGCATGTGTGTTTGCAGAACTAGGGCTGTTAACGAGCATAAAATTGCAGGATTGGGACATCAATGAGGAAAGGGAAGAGGCATCTGAATCCAATCACCTATGTATTAAGTCAATTATTTGTTTTATTTTGCTGTTTTTATATTTGAAAGTTGGCCTGGGCCAATTGTTTTCATTGATTAAAATAATTCTCTTGGGCCAAAAGCACAGAATGAATTTTCTCTCTCGTACGATTCTCACCACTGCACACCCCAGGTCCCATCTGTGCGCACACCCTCTGCCCGGTCTTGGAACAGAGGGATTACAGGATTGGGCCCACAGCGAGATGTTATGGGGGGCTTTTCTTTCTTAGAAGGGGCTGGACTCTACTGATCTGACCATGTGGCAAAGCCTCCTTACACCAAAGTTCTGCCCAAAGCAAATGTTTTACAGCCAAGCCATAAACACCTGAGAATTGGGGCTTCTAACAGATGTGCTGACAGCAGTTAGCTCCATGGCTTTGTCACCAGCCAGCATACCGTGTGCACAAGGATTACGCACCACTGAGGCATCCATTTCTTCTGTTACTTCTCCGGGGTGGTCTGAGCCGCTCTGGCCCGTGAGCCTGGCGTCGTGCGCTGTGTCCATAGGCGACCCAGCCTGTTCCTTGGGTCCGGGAAGCACCAATGCTTCTGTGCTGGCAACTGAGATTGTAGCCCTCTTGTTCAGACCGTGAGGACAGGTTCATGCCGTGAACCCGTCACCTTTTCCTCTGGTCTCTGAAATGCTCCTTTTAATTGCAGGTCTGGTAGGCCAGCTTTTCTCCGCTGCCCTCCTGACGACCCCAACCTGCTCTGGAGGAGCCAGCCCTTCTAGGGGTCAGAGATAATTCACATGGTGTCCATGCTGCGTCTTTTCACGATGGGTGACTGCTCTGCTATGACGGATGGCGCCGGGTCAGGTGGTGCAATAACCCCTAGGAGCTGAGCAGAGGCCGTCCGCCTCATTTCACTCGGGGCTTGTCAGGCCATCCAGTTCCTTTCTGTCTTGAGAATGCACAGCCGGACCCCTGAAGGATCTCAGCTTTTCCCTCGGGGCTTTTTCCTCTGTGCAAGGAGAAGGAAAGGTGGGAAGGCATTTGCAGTTGAGTAAAAATGATGAGCGCAATGGGTAATCTATGTAATTGATAAGCACCCTTAAAGCTTGTTTTTCAGGGGTTTATAACGCGGCAGTAAAAAATTGCTGAAACTTGGCATGCAAAGCTCATTAGAGGAGCAGTCCATTTTTATTCTTTCTTTTCGTAGAATCATAGAAGTAGGGTGGGAAGGGACCTTGTAGATCTTCAAGTCCG